TGTATTGGGTGCATAAATATTTAGGATCATTAGCTCTCTTATTGCATTGAGCCTTTTACCAGTATGTAATGTCCTCCTTTGTCTCTTGATCTTTGTTGGTTTAAAGTCTATTTTATCAGAGACGAGAATTGCAACTCCTGCTTTTTTTTTTTTGCTCTCCATTTGCTTGGTAAATCTTCCTTCATCCTTTTATTTTGAGCCTTTGTGTATCCTTGCATGTGAGATGGGTTTTGGCTTTTTATCCAATTTGCCAGTCTGTGTCTTTTGATTGGAGCATTTAGCCCATTTACATTTAGGGTTAATATTGTTATGTGTGAATTTGATCCTGCCATTTTGATGCTAGCTGGCTGTTTTGCCCATTAGTTGATGCAGGTTCTTCATTGTTTTGAAGCTCTTTACCCATTCAGTATGTTTTTGGAGTGGCTGGTACTGGTTGTTCCTTTCTATGTTTAGTGCCTCTTTCAGGAGCTCTTGTAAAGCAGGCCTGGTGGTGAAGAAATCTCTGAGTACTTGCCTGTTCGCAAAGGATTTTATTTTTCCTTCACTTATGAAGCTTAGTTTGGCTGGATATGAAACTGTAGGTTGGAAGTTCTATTCTTTAAGGATGTTGAATATTGGCCCCCACTCTCTTCTGGCTTGTAGGGTTTCTGCTGAGAGATCTGCCATGAGTCTGATGGGCTTCCCTTTGTGGGTTACCTGACCTTTCTCTCTGGCTGCCCTTAGCATTTTCTCCTTCATTTCAACCCTGGTGAATCTGACGATTATGTGCCTTGAGGTTGCTCTTCTTGAGGAATATCTTTGTGGTGTTCTCTGTATTTCCTGGGCTTGAATATTGGCCTGCCTTGCTAGGTTGGGGAAGTTTTCCTGGATAATATCCTGAAGAGTATTTTCCAGCTTGGATTCATTCTCTCCGTCACATTCAGATATACCTATCAAACGTAGATTAGGTCTTTTCACATAGTTCCATATTTCTTGGATACTTTGTTCATTCCTTTTTACCCTTTTTTCTCTAATTTTGCATTCTCGTTTTATTTCATTGAGTTGATCTTCGACCTCTGATATCCTTTCTTCTGCTTGGTCAATTCAGGTGTTGAAACTTGTGTATGCTTTGTGAAGTTCTAGTGTTGTGTTTTTTAGCTCCATCAATTCCCTTATATTCCTCTCTAAGTTGTTTATTCTCATTAGCATTTTGTCAAATCTTTTTTCAACATTCCTAGTTTCTTTGCATTCCGTTAGAACATGTTCTTTTAGCTTACAGAATTTTCTTATTACTCACCTTCTGAAGCCTGATTCTGTCAATTCATCACACTCATTCTCCATCCAGCCTTGTTCCCTTGCTGGTAAGGAGTTGTGATCCCTTGTAGGGGGAGAGGCTTTCTGGTTTTGGGTGTTTTCATCCTTTTTGTGCTGGTTTCTTCCCATCTTGTGGATTTCCCACCTGTCATCTTCGTAGTTGTTGACTTTCAGATTGGGTCTCTGAGTGGATGCCCCATTTGTTGATGATGAAGTTATTTCTTTCTGTTTCTTAGTTTTCCTTCTAACAGTGGCCCCTCTCCTGTAGGACTGCTGAAGTACACTCCATGCCCTGCTTGCCTGGGGGATCACCTGAAGCGGCTGCAGAACAGTAAGGGTTGCAGCCAGTTTCTTCTGCTATCTTTGTCCCAGAAGAATACCTGCCAGATGTTAGTCTGAGCTCTCCTTTATTAGGTGACTCTTTGGATATATGGGGCTCGGAGTGCTGCTTAAGGAGACAGTCTGTCCTGTATAGGAGCTGAAGTGCTGAGCTGTGAGTTCCGTTGTTCATTCAGAGCTGCTGGGCAGGTATGTTTAAGTCTGCTGCAGCAGAACTCATAACCCTCTTTTTTTCCCCAAGTGCTCTGTCCCAGGGAGTTAGGGCTTTATTTATGAGTTTCTGTTGTGCTGCTGGCTTTTTTCAGGGCTTCCCTGCCCAGTGAGGAGGCAGCCTAGTCACTGTCTGCCTGCAGAGGCTTTGCTGAGCTGCTGTGGGCTCTGCCCAGCTGCTGTGTGGACTTCCCTGCAGTCCTGTTTATACGGGTGTAGTTAGAACTGCCTCGGCAATGGCAGCCCACCTCTATAATGGCAGACTGTCTCTGTAATGGTGGACTGCCTCAGCAAAAGCAGACTGCTTCCGCAATAGCGAACTATTTCCATAGTGGTGGACTGCCTCATTAATGGTGGACACTCTTCCTGCACAGAGCTGGACCGTCCTGGGTTCAGTTGTGCTTGCTGTGAAACTCTCAATCCAGAGCATTTCTGATTGCTGTTTTTTTGTGGGAGTATGACCAGCGGAGCCTGATCACCTGGCTCCCTTCCTCAGAGCCCCTTTTATTTCCCAGGTGTTCCAGTCACCTGTTAAAGATGCTGGAATCTGTGTGATTTCCCGTGTGATAACCCAGACTGCACTGGCTGAAACCGCGCTGAGATTCTTGGTGCTTTTTTGTCCGGGAATCTCCTGGCCTGGCTCCCTGTTTCAGTCCCCTTTTTAATCAGATGAATGGGTGAGTCTGTCTCCCAGGAGTTCCAATCGCCAGCTAAAACAGTGCCTGGACACGTGTATTTTGTATGGAGAACCACCATGCTGGGATGCTGGCCAAAACAGCTGTGCTGGCGACCCATGGGGTTCCTCTACCTGGGAATCTCCTGGTCTGTGGGCAATAAAAATCCATCTGGAAATGTGGTGTCCACTCACCCTCACGCTTTCACTGATGGCTGCAATCCTGAGCTGCTCCTAATTGGCCATCTTGGATCCCTCCTTTTGGTCAATTTTCAACAAGGGTTTCAGGACAATTCACTGGGGAAGGAAGTCTTTTCAACAAATGGCACTGGGTCACCTGGAGAAGCACATGCAAAAGAATGAGTTTAGACTCCTCCCTCATTACCATACAAACATTAACTCAAAATGAGGTAAAAACCAAATGTAAGCTAAAATTAAAAACAAAACTCTTAGAAGAAAATATAGGCAAAAGTTCTTGTGACCTTGGATTGGGCAATGGTTTCTTAGATATAACAGCAAAAACATAAGCAATCAAAGAAAAACTAAACTTCATCAGAATTAAAAACACTTGTGCATCAAAAGATACTATCAAGAATAGGATAAGCACATGAAAAGGTTAGGTAAATACCAATCAAGAACAATGAGATAACATTGCACACCCACTAAGATGGCTGAAATTTAAAAGATGGACAATAATAAGTGGGGCAAGTGGCACCAAGGATGTGGAGCATTTGGAATCCTCAGACATTGCTGATGTGAATATAAAATGGTAACGATTGTTTGGAAAACAGTTTGGCACTTGCTTTAAAAGTTAAGCATAATTACTGTGACCCAGCAAATCTGCTTCTAGGAATCTACCCAAGAGAATTGAGAACATGTCTATATGAAGGTTTGTACACAAATGTCTATAGCATATTTTTTTTTTTTTTTGAGACAGTTTCACTCTTTTGCTGAGACTGGAATGAAGTGGCACCATCTCAGCTTACTGCATCCTCCGCCTCCCAGGCTCAAGCAATTCTCCTGCCTCTCCTTCCCAAGTAGCTAGAATTATAGGCTCCTGCCATCACACGTGGCTAATTTTTATATTTTTAATAGAGATGGGGTTTCGCCATGTTGGCCAGGCTGGTTACATATCATATGATACGTATCATATGATTCCATTTACTTGAAATGTCCAGAATTGGCAATTCCATAGAGACAGAAAGTAGATTAGTGGCTGCCTAGGGCTGGAGGGAGGCAGGAATGGGAAATGAGTAATGATGGGTAGAGGTTTCTTTTAGGGGGTGATAACAATGTTCTGGAATTAGATAGGGGTGATGGTTGTACAACCTTGTGAATACACTAACAAGTACTGATTTATACATTGTAAAATAATGAATTTTATGGTATGTGAATTTATCATTTAAAAACAAGGGGGAACATATGTATACTTATAATAAGACAACCCAATAAAAAATGAACAAAAGATATCAATTGACATTTTAAATCCATAAACCCTCATAGTTAGTATTTGAGAGCTACTTATGTGCTAGATACTAGATACTTAACTTTTATTTTATTTTATTTTATTTATTTATTTTAGAGATAGAGTCTCACTCTGTTGCCCAGGCTGGAGAGAATGTTGCAATCTCGGCTCACTGCAACCTCCCCCTCCTGGGTTCAAGTGATTCTCCTGCCTTAACCTCCCAGGTAGCTGGGATTACAGGCACCCACTGCCATGCCCAGCTAATTTTTGTATTTTTAGTATAGATGGGATTTCACCATGAGTCCAGGCTGGTCTTGAACTCCTGATTTCAGGTGATTCACCCACCTTGACCTCCCAAAGTGCTGGGATTACAGGTGTGAGCCACTGTGCCTAGCCTTTTATTTTTTAAGCAACAGAGTCTTACTCTGTGCCCAGACTGGAGTACAGTGGCACAATTGTCACCACAGCCTCAAACTCCTGGGCTCGAGTGATCTTCCCACCTCAGCCTATAACTGGGACTACAAGCACATGCCATTACACCTGGCTGATTTTTAAAATTTTTTCTTAGAGCTAGGGCATCACTGTGTTTTCTGGGCTGGTCTTGAACCTGGCCTCAAGCAATCCTCCTGCCTGAGCCTCCCAAAGTGCTGGGGCTACAGGCGTGAGCTGCTTTGCCTGACCATAGATATTAAGCACCTGACACTTCGTTTGTAATCTTTATACCTAACCTTGAGATAGGTACTATTATTTCCTTTTTATAGATTTAGAAATAGGAACTAGCTAAATAAGATTCTAGTTAATGAGCACTGGACTAAGATTCAAACTCAGGAACTCAATTTTAATTCACTATACTGCATCCTGTTTATATACTACATACTATGGTTTACTGTATAACCTTCTTGCACAGGCCTCTTATTTTTTTAAGACTGTCTTTTTAAAAATAAAAGGCTGGGCACGGTGGACACTTCATTTCACAAGGCTGACTAACCACCTCACGATGGCTCTTTTTCCCCTTTCCAGATCCATTAATGAGATGAAGCGGTTGGAAGAAATGTCAAATATGTTTCAGAGCTCTGGAGTCCAGTGTCACCCTCCAGAACCAAAAGCCCAAACAGAAGGGAATGAAGATTTGGAGGACAAAGAGCAACCTTGGGAAATGGTGATGGATAAGAAACACTTTAAGCTGTGGCGGCGCCCAATTACAGGCACCCACCTCTACCGGTACCGAGGTGAGTACAGTGTGGCTGTCTTTTGTGTTCCGAAGTTGCCCATGTGCACGAGATTTCTGTTCCTCGTACTTCTCTAAACTGTTCTGATTGTTTCTCAGAAAATTTCACATGGTTTTTTGTTTGTTGTTTTTCTTCTCCCAGATGACAAATGTCTGTGTCATCTTTGCTGTAGATCATCTTTGTCTTTCTTTGTTGCCCTAATATGACTTCTAGTTTCTGAACCTGCCTTTAAGATCTCTTAGTACTTCAGAACTAAAACACTGCTAAGTGATAGAAACAAGGTGAGTGACCAGAGTATGGCAAGCATCCCTTATTCTTTCTTGTTATTCTAGTTTTTGGAACCTACACAGATGTGACACCTCGGCAGTTCTTCAATGTTCAGGTGAGTTAATTTTTCTCTCCAGATTGGGAGCCGCCTTGAATATCAATTGTTACTATCTACATGAATAATTTCTCTGACTCAGATGACATTGGCTTCAATACATCCATCTATCTACCTGTCATCTCACATTGCATAGCATTTAGGTAAACATTTGACTTAGAATTTCTTTATCTGTCCCATGGTGGTGAGATCCATTTTACCCTCCCACAGGACTGTTGGGAAGAACAGATAGAGGAATGGATATAAATATTTTAATGTATTTTATGAGGCTTTCTTGTTTTTTTTTTTTCCAAAACAATTTGAGAGTAAGTTACATACATCATAGCCCTTCATTCCTAAATTCTTCCCGTGTATATTTCCTAAAACTAGTCATATTTTCTTAACTAACCATGATATCATTATTGAAATCAGCAAATTTAACACTGATGCAACACTTTCATGTAGTCTTCTGTTTGTATTCCGGTTTATGATATGACTCAGTAATGTTCTTTATAGCATTTTCCCTTTAGTACAGACATAGTCAGGGTTATATTTAGTTGTTGCATCTCTTTAACCTCAAATCCAGGACATTTCCATAATGAAACCTTCCCCCCACCCTCCCTGAGACAGGGTCCTGCTGTGTCACCCAGGCTGGAGTGCAGTGATGTCATCATGGCTCACTGCAGCCTCTGCTTCCTGGATTCAGTGATTTTCCTACCTCAGCTTCCAGGCTCAGAGGCATGCACCACCACACTTGACTAAGTAAAATGTTTTTCCTTAGAGACAGGGTCTTCCTACGCCTCCTAGGCTGGTCTTGAACTCCTGGGCTCAAGTGATCTTCCTGCCTTGGCCTCCCAAAGTGCTGGGTTTACAGATGTGAGCCACTTATGTTAGCCAAGTATTTATTTCATAAAGATGAAGAGTATCTGTTCAAAGACTGCTTTCCTCCTTGTGGCGGAAGATGTTTAAAAAAATGAAACAGGGAGGTGGGATCACCCAGAGTTCTAGAAGAAAAATTTTTTCTTTCTGGATTTTTCATTTGTTTTGCCAGACTTCTTCGATAACTAGTTCGTTATCGCTAATATGCGCTATCACTCTAGTCACTCTAATATGCTCTAATCACTCTAATATCACTCAAATATGCAAATGCACTTTCCCCTGAGGCACTAGATCTTGTTAATTTGTAATGAATTTTTATTGTTTTTATGTATATGGTATATCTGTCTTCATTTGAAATTCTTCAGTTACTAGTGATGCCAGAAATTTTTAAAAATATGCTGCTTGCATTTTTGTGTATGACATGTCTACTTAATACTTTAGACTTTCGTAGTTTAAAACCTTTTAGAGTTATCTTATCCTTACATATTTATATGACTATATATTGTTTTTTCTCAGATATGCCTATTAAAATATTCTGTTACACTCTTTTCCAGATGTGTCTTAAAATATTGTTACACTTTTCCTTGGTTTATCTTTTTAAGATGCACATTCAGTGTAATGACATTAGCCTGTACAAAGTGATTTTGAAAGAATCATCTGCAATAAACAGCCATGTCTCTCACACTTCAGCACTCACTGTTTGTTAGGTCAGATTACTATCTCCTTGTAATAAGGTTCTTGGGTCAGAGACCAGAGCATCCAGAAAGCCTTCTGCATTTTTGTTTTGGGTCTTCATGGTCTTTTCTCTTTCTGCAGCTAGACACAGAGTATAGAAAAAAGTGGGATGCCCTGGTGATCAAGCTGGAGGTGATTGAGAGGGATGTGGTTAGTGGTTCTGAGGTTCTTCACTGGGTAACCCATTTTCCTGTGAGTATTTTTACTTCTGTTTTTATCTCTCTCCAAGTTTGTGTGATACAGACCACTAATGCTGTCCCTACATTTCTTTAGTATCCAATGTACTCACGGGATTATGTTTATGTTCGGCGGTATAGTGTGGATCAGGAAAACAACATGATGGTGTTGGTGTCGCGGTACGTATGGCTGCCTGTGGCTTTTGCTGAGTCCTATGAATAGCTGTGCTATTCATTCCTGCGTACCTGAGTTTGCATATTCTTAGTGCCCTGGTGAGTCTCCCACAGGCTTCTCTGCAGCCAGTGCCTCATGCATCCAGCTAGAAGATGAGGGGGCTCTGACTGTCTAGGAAGAATGGAGAGATGTAAGCTTTTAGTTAGTGTTTTTTTGAGTTCTTTAACGTTGGTAGTTAAAAGAAGTGCTGTTGTTGTTTTTTGTTTTTTTTTTTGGAGACGGAGTTTCATTTCGCTCTTGTTACCCAGACTGGAGTGCAATGGTGCAATCTCGGCTCACCGCAACCTCCGCCTCTTGGGTTCAAGCAATTCTCCTGCCTCAGCCTCCCAAGTAACTGGGACTACAGGCACGTGCCACCATGCCCAGCTAATTTTTGTATTTTTAGTAGAGACGGGGTTTCACCATGTTAACCAGGATGGTCTCAATCTCTTGACCTTGTGATCCACCCACCTTGGCCTCCCAAAGTGCTGAGATTATAGGCGTGAGCCACCACGCCCGGCCAGTGCTATTGTTTTTGACCCACAGCATAGTGATCCATAAATTACCAAAGGAACTCACTTCATTTTAAATTAATTAATTAATTTTTTGTAGAGGCAGGGTTTCAAAGTGTTGTCCAGGCTGTTCTTGGACGCCTGGCTTTAAGTGATCTTCCTGCCTTGGCCTCCCAGTGTTGGGATTGCAGGCATGAGCCACCACGTCTGGCCTTCATGTCATTTTTTTTTTTTTTTGAGATGGAGTTTCACTCTTGTTGCCCAGGCTGGAGTGCAATGGTGTGATGTAAGCTCACTGCAACCTCTGCCTCCCGGGTTCAAGCGATTCTCCTGCCTCAGCCTCCCAAGTAGCTGGGATTCCAGGCATGTGCCACCATGCCCAGCTAATTTTGTATTTTTAGTAGAGACGGGGTTTCTCTATGTTGGTCAGGCTGGTCTTGAACTCCTGACCTCAGGTGATCCACCTGCCTTGGCCTCCCAGAGTGCTGGGATTATAGGCGTGTGCCACTGAGCCCAGCCCCTTCACTTCATTTTTAGAAGTTAGTTTGTATTTATTCATCTTAGTGACTCCTCTGTTGTGTGTAGTTTAAAAAATCAGAGCCAGCCTTTTAGGCCTTCCCCTTAACTTAGCTCCCCTGTTGTTTTATATATAGACATTACTAAGAGTTTGCTTCTCCTTTCCTCCTTACCAGTGCTGTGGAGCATCCAAGTGTGCCAGAGTCTCCAGAATTTGTCAGGGTCAGATCATATGAATCCCAGATGGTTATCCGTCCACACAGGTCATTTGATGAGGTGAGTTTTACCTCATCCGAGAGATAATATCTCAAGGCTATGGAATTTTCTCAAGGGATGTCTTTTATCTGAACTAGGGAGGAGGGGGTATGACCCAGGAACAGTTCTCGGGAGAGGCTGATGCTGCTGGTCTGGGAACCATATTTTGGGAACTCCAATGTAGGTGATGTACATGGAAAATCCCCAAGGACAAGATAGTGGCAATCCGTTGGTTCCCTTTTGTCTGAGAGACAGTTATAAGAAAGAATCATTGCCACTGACATGTTAGTCTGTATCAGCATCATTCTTCAGGAACCACAGTGAGTGCCTTCTGTCAGCATTTCACTACAGTGGGCAGGGCACTGGAAACCTTTCTGGATTTCTCCTTCCTTGCTGGAGAAATGGGAGGGTTGGAGTCATGCTCTCTGCCTTCTTTAAAATTCTATGACCTTTCTTTGAAAATAATATTTATTTAAGCTTAGTGTGGTGTTTTGTTTTTCTTTTCAGTCTTTTTAAACTAAATCTCCATTGAGAGTATATATATTGATGCTAGTGGCTGCTGGTTTTAGTTCTATTTCACCTTATAATAGCCTTGTTTCTCCCTGTTGCTTCTGTTTGATTTAGAGCTATATGGACTGTGTTCTTTAGTGTAGTTTTCTTATTCTCATCAAGTTTTATTTATACCACCTGAAGTAATACTTGAGCCAGTGGTTCACTTCAGCCAGTGTAGTATGTTTTGTTCTTTTTTTACTGGGGGATCTCTGTGTTTACTTCTGTGATTTTTTTTTTCTTTTTTCTTTTTGAAACGGAGTTTCGCTCTTGTTACCCAGACTGGAGTGCAATGGTGCAATCTCGGCTCACCGCAACCTCCACCTCCTGGGTTTAGGCAATTCTCCTGTCTCAGCCTCCTGAGTAGCTGGGATTGCAGCCATGAGCCACCATGCCCAGCTAATTTTTGTATTTTTAGTAGAGACGGGGTTTCACCTTGTTGACCAAGATGGTCTCAATCTCTTGACCTCGTGATCCACCCGCCTCGGCCTCCCAAAGTGCTGGGATTACAGGCTTGAGCCACCGCGCCGGGCCTATTTCTGTGATATTTTTATAGCAGTACTTTTTAGGCCACAGGTTGCTACCTATTAGTAGAAAACAACTAATTTGGGGGATTATGGTTAGCTTTTAAAAAAAAAAAGAAAGAAAAGGAATAAATAGAGCAGAATAGAAACTACCTGAGTGTAAGAGTATTTCATGAAACTTTGGTTACATAAATACATTTGAGTGTGTGTATGATGAGAGTGAGAGAGAACTAGGTTGTGATATGAAAAGGATCATTTACAACAGATTGTGGTTAAAATGAAAGCCCTAGCTTTAGAGGATAGAAGGGAGATGAGGCTCTGCTAGTTACCTTTAGGAAGGAGAGGTCAGGCTGGGAATGGTGTAGGAGGGGACTTTTGCCTCACATCCTTTATGTTGTTTTTGACTTCTGAACCATGTCCATATGTTGCTTATTTGAAAAAAAGTGACTTGAGTTCTAGCATTGCTACCTTAAGAAATTATGACCATGAAACAGCTAAGGGCATAGTTTAGCACTTAGCAGAGTAGGTTTCATCTGGTTAATATTTATTTTAGCTATGTTGGGAGAATAAGATTTATCAGTGTAATTTTTTTTTGGTGGGGGGCACTGAGTCTTACTCTGTCATTCAGGCTGGAGTGCAGTGTCATGATTTCAGCTCACAGAAACCTCCGCCTCCCAGGTTCAAGCAATTCTCTGCCTCAGCCTCCTGAGTAGCAAGGATTACAGGTGTCTGCTATGCCTGGCTAATTTTTTTTGTATTTTTAGTAGAGATGGGATTTCACTATCTTGGCCAGGCTAGGTCTCCTGACCTAGTGATCCACCTGCCTTGGCCTTCCAAAGTATTGGGATTACAGGCGTGAGCCACTGTGCTGGCCTATAAGTATAATTTTAAAAATTATTTTTGTGGCGAACTCTTATGAAAAAGGTAGGACTTGAGTTGGTCCTTGTAAAAAAAAAAAAAAAAAAACTGGATAGGCAAGCAGGACACTGGGGTTAGAAGACATGATTCAAGCAAAGACAAAGAGAGTGATGAGCCATGTATGCACCCAGAGACTCACATGCTAAGGAAGGTAGTGGTTAGGAAGAAGTGATAAATTGCATTGACTGTGTACAGAGGGTACTCGAAGACAGTGCAGCTGAGTTTGGATTTGCCAAATGGGAAGTAGATCTTTGAGCCAAGTTAGGGGGTTTTTATCATGGAAAATTTGAAATATATACAAAAGGTACAGAAGTAGAAGAGTTTAATGAACTCTATGTATCTGTCCCCAGCTCCAGTTATCAACTCATTGTTTTGGGAAAGGCCAAAATTGTTTTATCCATAGCCTTTCTCATTTCCTTTCCCACTCCCCTGATTATTTTGAAGCAAATTCTAGCTTTACTATAGGAGAACCCATGTCTTCTCTTATATATTTCAGTATTTGTTTCAAATAAGGATTTTGGTTTTTTTTGGAAATAGGGTCTTATACTGTTACCCAGGCTAGTGTGCAGCGGCATAATCACAACTCACTGCAGCCTGTAGAGATGTGGTCTCACCGTGCTGCCCAGGCTGGTTTTGAACTCCTGGGCTCAGGCAGTCCTTCCACCTTAGCCTCCCAAAGTGCTGGATTACAGGTGTGAGCCACCATGCCTAGTCCAAATAAGAAATTTTTAAAACAGCTCTGGGCTGGGCAACATGGAGAGACTCTGTCTCTACAAAAAATAAAAATAAAAAGTAGCTGGGCATGGTGACAGACGCCTGTAGTCCCAGCTATTTGGGAAGCTGAGGTTGGGAGAATCGCTTGATCCCAGGAGGTCAAGGCTACAGTAAGCCATGTTTGTGCCACTGCATGCCAGCCTGGGCGACAGTATGAGACCCTTCTCAAAAAAAAAAAAAAAAAAGCCAGGCACAGTGGCTCATGCCTGTAATCCCAGCACCACTTGAGATCAGGATTTTGAGACCAGCCTGGCCAACATGGTGAAACTCCATCTCTACTAAAAATACAAAAATTGTCTGGGCATGGTGGTGTGTGCCTGTAATCCCAGCTACTCGGGAGGCCGAGGCAGGAGAATGGCTTGAACCCGGGAGGCAGAGGTTGCAATGTGCCAACATCTTTCCACTGCACCCCAGCGTGGGTGACAGAGTGAGACTCATCTCAAGAAAAAAAGAAAGAAACTGACAGACTTAAACGTACTTAGTTTTTAAATTCGTTATCCTTACTGATGCTCAAATTGATCCTAGTTTTAGTCATTGGGAACCTTCTTGTTGGCTTATGGCCCTTTGACATGACCGTAGAAGCTATCTTGCTTTCAGGTGCTACAAGATGTTGAAGGTTCATCTTGTATATTTTTAGTTTTAAACCTGGAAATTAACATTTCTTCAGGGAGTCCTAGTTCCTTTTATTGGAAAATGGCATTTAAATACCAAAATTTGGCTGCTAAGAGTACTCATAGCAACTGGGTTGTTTATTGTTTGTAGACCTTTTCAGAAGCTAAAACCAAGTAATACATTTTATTTGTATGTTTATTTTTAAGATAAAACAAATCTTAAGTATATACTAATACTTTTCATTCAAATTCAGGATTAGGGAGTTTTTGTTTCTATCTTGTATCTTTTATATTTCCCTGTACTGTAGAACTCAATTCCCAGGAACCCTAATACAACTAACTACTCATTTGTTGAAATACACAGCCTCAGAATAACAATATAATGTGATCACCAGTAATATGAAGAACACAAATTTGTATGTCTTTTTGTCTTCAGGATATGCATACTGTGTACAAAATATAGATTTTTAAAAAAAATTTTTAGAGTCTTGCTCTGTTGCCCAGGCTGGAGTGTAGTAGTACGATCTTGGCTCACTGCAACCTCCACCTCCCAGGTTCAAGCAGTTCTCTTGCCTCAGCCTCCCAAGTAGCTGGGAATACAGATGCATGCCACCATGCCTGGCTAATTTTTATATTTTTAATAGAGACGGGATTTCATCATGTTAGCCAGGCTGGTCTGGAACTCCTGACCTCAGTGATCTGCCTGCCTTGGCCTCCCAAAGTGCTGGGATTATAGGCGTGAGCCACTGCACCCAGCTACCACCCAAAGCTTTTTTTGTGAGATGGAATCTCACTCTATTGCTCAGACTCTAGTGCAGTGGCTTGATCTTGGCTCACTGCAACCTCTGCCTCCTGGTTCAAGCAATTCTCATGCCTCACTCAGCCTCCAGAGTAGCTGGAAGGTGGAAAGTACTATAGGTGTGTGCCACCATGGCTGGCTAATTTTTGTATTTGGTAGAGATGGAGTTTTGTCATGTTGGCCAGGCTTGTAAACTCCTGACCTCAAGTGATCCACCTGCCTCGGCCTCCTAAAGTACTGGGATTACAGACATGAGCCACCATGCCCAGCCTCACACCAAAAGTTTTTATTGGGAGCTGGTTACTTAATGCCGTCTGCTTAGCACATAACAGAATTCCAGACCCCCAAAAGCAAAGCCTGTGTTCAGGATAAATCACATTGTTTGCATAGTGTAGGTTCAGGGAGCCAGCCTTATAAGCTAACTGTTGACTGGGAGCCAAGTTGGCCAAGGGTCAACATTGTAAGCAGGCCTTTCTATAGATAGTAGTGTCTCAGGCCTTTTGTGTTAACTCTTTTCTGCACAAGGTAAAAAAAGAAATGACACTCTCTGCTCCAGAATCAGATTATAGTTATTCTATGGTATTGGATTTGAAGGTTGTGGTAAGTGATTCAGGGTTCTTCATTTTTGCTGTTTTTCTTTTCCAGAATGGCTTTGACTACTTACTGACATACAGTGACAATCCCCAAACAGTGTTTCCTCGCTACTGTGTTAGTTGGATGGTTTCCAGTGGTAAGTAAGGGCAAGTATACAGGGCCTGCATTAAGCATTTTGTTTTCTCTATCTTCTTAAGGGCAGCAAGATTAGTACTTGTCTCACTGGAGTCCTGTTGGGAAAATTAAACGTCTCTTCTGGTTCTTTTTTTTTTTCCCTTGAGATGGAGTCTCACTCTCTTGTCTAGTTTGGAGTGGAAATAGCGTGATCTCAGGTCACTGCAACCTCTGCCTCCCAGGTTCAAGTGATTCTCCTGCCTCAGGCTCTTGAGTAGCTGGGATTACAGGCACCCACCACCATGCCTGGCTAATTTTTGTATTTTTTGGAGAGACAAGGTTTCACTATGTTGGCCATGCTCGTCTCGAACTCCTGAACTCAAATGATCCACCTGCCTCGGCCTCCCAAAGTGCTGGTATTACAGGCATGAGCCACCGTGCCCAACCCTTTTCTGGTTCATTCTTGAATTACTATGAAGATACCAAAGACTCCAGATAGAGATTGAAGGGATGAGAATTACAGGGTCCCAGAAAGGAACTTGTACCCAGAGGAGAGCTTTAAAAACATTTGCTTCAATGCCTTAAATATGGACTGTGTAGATTAACATATTTACATTTTCTTCTTCAATGATTGAAGGCCATAAGATAGAAAATATGGTGATCATAGGGCAGTCACCTGGGGAAAGGGGCACTTGTCTTAACAACTGTTATACATCATGGCTATAACTGCAGCTTTCCCTTCCACCTTCTTGTCTGAGAAAGCATCCTTGTGATTTTTTTCTGGTTCTCTATAGGCAGCTTCTTACATGCTTCAGGGGGAGAACAGAGAGATTAGGTGTTTCTGTTTGACATTTGTCTAAATAAAATTGGCAGGTATTTTAATGACACTAATAAGTGATACTTAGATTAAAAGATCCTTTTGGGACTTAAGTGGCCTGATTAGTACCTCTTTTCAAAGAAGGAGCAAAGATCATGGGTTGTTTTTACAACCCATGCTTTGGGAACGCCTTCTGGGAGGCAGCTGTTATTCACAGGCTATCTATCAGTCAGGCCATGATCTTTATAACGAAGAGCTAGTTCCCTACCATCAAATAAATGGGGTCTTCTAATTTTGAGCCTACTGTTGGTTTATATGTCAGCTTAACCTGATTCCTGTCTTCCTGACAGGCATGCCTGATTTCCTGGAGAAGCTGCACATGGCCACTCTGAAAGCCAAGAATATGGAGATTAAAGTAAAGGACTACATCTCGGCTAAGCCTCTGGAAATGAGTAATGAAGCCAAGGCCACCAGCCAGTCCTCTGAGCGAAAGAACGAGGGCAGTTGTGGCCCTGCTCGGATTGAGTATGCCTGACAGGCTTTGAGATAAGAAGGGACAGGCGCTTCAGGCCCCGTCTCAGTCGTTTATCACTGCTATAGAACGGGGACATGCCACGTTATTAGAAGGCATCTGCTGTAACTTCCAGTGTAAGAAGATAATTCAGTAACTCATGTCCCATTTTATTCAGAGCCCTGTTGCTCTTATCAGAAGAAAAGAAGGCTACATTTGTGGGAGTGTTGTCATATTCTCAGGCCAACTATTTTGAAATTCGGTATCTCACTGAGCGAATCTGGAACAAACCTCTCACCTCAGGCCAGAAGGGAATGACCTTCATTTGCTTCTCTGAGTAGTTTCCTCTGTTGACATTCCAAATCCCATCAATTGTGCAGCGCTTTGGATTTCCTTCAGTTCTACAGGTCCACCTGGAAAGTGTAGTTGGTTGGTTGAGTCTCTCAAATGAGGGGCTACTGGGAGTACTCTTGGTAACAATCTTGATGTCAATGGGTGAATGATACTTGGCTGTGTTAAGTGCCTTGTCTGCACCTTGCTTTTATCTCTAGGGACATGAAGTTGTTATTATTATTTTTTTTAAGTAGAGTTGGAGTCTCCTTATGTTTCCCAGGCTGGTCTTGAACTCCTGCCTTGGACTCCCAAAGTGCTGGGATTACAGATGTGAGCCACCATGCCTGGCCAGTGACATGAAATTTGTACCAAGAAATTTCCCTCCTTGCTTGCACAATACCACCCATTGATTCACCTTATCCAAAGCAGTTTTTCCTTTGAATCAGCCAGTTCTTCTATATTCATTGGATCATTTCCTCCTTCCTAACCTTTCCTATTTACCAAGAGCACTGGGAGACTAATCATTTTAGATAGAAGCTTTTTGATGCTCAAAACATCGCCTTTAAATTTAGTTTAAAAATTTTTTAAATTTTATGTCAAAATGAAGAAGTTGGAGTTGAGTGGGATTCTACCTTAGTCCCATTGTATAGAAAGGATCACCATTTTGATGCAGACATTATTTTTCACATTTCAGGTTTGACTTGTTCTTAGAAGGCTAAAGGTGGAGGAATGGGGGGCTGGGCCACTCCCTTGGAGCTCTCAGATCTGTAGACAAGCTGTGTGAATGCATAGATGTAATCTTGCTGCAAATACTAATATAGTGGAGATGTGGTTTATGTTACCATCATGTTCCTCTAAAAAGTTTTTCTTACTCTTTTCAGAGCCAGAATGGGATAAATTCACAATCAGATGCTGTCAGTTAGACCCAGCTGGTTTTGCTTATGGTCATGCCGCAGTTTGTTAGGAGAATAAGTAAGGATCAAGTTTTAAATCCTCCTCTGTCCCTTTATTCTGGAGTCTTGATGGCCAGAGGTTTTTGTTTTTTGTGTGTTTTTTTTTGGTCTGCTTGCTACTGTTTTGTGGTGTTGAAAAGTGATTTAGCCGGGCACAGTGGTGTGTGCCTGTAGTCCCAGCTACTTGGGAGGCTGAGGTGGGAGGATTGTTTGAGCCCAGGAGTTCTGGGCTGTAGTGCGCTATGCCGATCGGGTGTCTGCACTAAGTTTGGCATCAATATGGTGACCTCCTGGGAGCGGGGGACCACCAGGTTGCCTAAGGAGGGGTGAACCGGCCCAGGCCGGAAGTGGAGCAGGTCAAAACTCCTGTGCTGATCAGTAGTGGGATCGTGCCTGTGACTATCCACTGCACGCCAGCCTGAGCAACATAGCGAGACCCCCATCTCTTATAATAAATGAATAAAGAAGAGTGATTTGAACTTGAGACTGATTTAAACCCTTCTTTGACCTCATTGTTGCCTGTTCATTTTTGTGCCAAGGAAGTAGCTGCCCCGGTGTGTCTTGCCTTCTCACAGTCATTGTTGGAAGAGCAGAAAGATGCATTGAGCAGTCCTAGCTGCGTTTCATTCATTGCTTTTCTTCTCCCCAGGACCTCACAGAAGCTAGGGAAGAGTCCCTGGGTTATGTCCAAACTTAGCACCTGTGATTGTTGGGGTGTGGATGGATGTGTGCATGAGACAGAGAGTATGTGTGTGTGTGTGCATGCATGTGCACACACATGCACAGGTACAAAGGAGTTACCGTTGCTCCATGTTCTGACTGATGGAAATTTGATTCTGCACTTGGGGTCTGCGTGTACAGTTACTCATGTCATTGTAATGATTTCACTCCTAACTGTGACATTTTTATGAAATGTGTGAATAAATACATCAAGATTGATAGAAAAAAACTCTTTGTCTTTGGACAAATGGTGGTGGAAAAATCTTGCATATTGGGCTTATCATTTCTTTCTGATCACAAAGTTGAAAGCATTTTTACTCAGAGTTGGGAGGTGGAAGTGGCAGGCCTTGTTCATTCTTGGTAGATAGTGGCTGCCACACAGCTTGCCTAGACCATGAGCCCTTTCCAGGTGACCTGCTTGGGAACTGAAAATAAACTACCAATATTCACTTCCCTAGCTTGACATACTGATATCCTCTGCCTTTAAAGAAGGATCACTTTGGAGGGAGCAATGCTAGAGCTTAGCATTTGGTAGAAATCAGGAGGGATTTAAAGCAGGCCTGTGGTCTAGGGTTGAGGAAAGGGCCAAGTCAGCGCCCTTGGTGGAGGGGCGGTTCTGCTAGCATGCTCTAAGCATAATGAATTAAGTGTAATTTTGCCTATGGGAATCATTAGGTGAACACAAAAGCACATCCAGTTGAACTGAGCTGCCTAGGAACACAAAAGGCACAGGTCCCTTTGTGGTGTACCACCTCCCATCTGATTCCAGAGAACCATGTGCCTCATCTCATGGTTGCAAGCTGCAGCCCTTCCATTGGCCATCATGGCTCTGTGCCTCACACTCCCCTCTTTATTCTCCTCTTTCCTTTCAGCCTCATTTGTATTTTTTCTAATCTTTCTTTTTTTTTTCTTTTTTGAAATGGAGTCTCACTCTCACCCAGGCTGGAGTCCTGTGGTGAGACCTTGGCTCACTGCAACCTCTGCCTCCCCTGCCTCAGCCTCTCGAGTAGCCAGGACTACAGGTGCATACCACCAACCCTGGCTGATTTTTGTATTTTTAGTAGAGATGGGATTCCACCATGTTAGTCAGGCTGGTCTCAAACTCCTGATCTCAAAGTGATCTGCCTGCCTCAGCTTCCCGAAGTGTTGGGATTACAGGCATGAGCCACCGAGCTTCTTTTCTTCTATCTTTTCTCTCGCTTTCTCTGATCTTTTGTTCTCTTTCTCTTCACATAGGGTGATGGGTGTGGGAGCTGAGTGGGCGGTCCAGTGAGTTTCTCCCTGCAAACTGCAGGTCAAGGGAGACTGCTTTATATATTTCTTAACCATTGACATGTTTGAAACTGCTACCTTTTTATGTGTCACAAAGATTTTTAGTGTTGCACACCTGAACCCATTTTTCTGTAGGCCTTACAGTTTTTGTTGTATCGTTTTGTGTAGACACGTGAGTCTTCTATGAACAGGAGAACCATACAATGGGAATGTAGTGATGCCTTAATAGCCAGCATGGGCTTAGCCATCATATAATTCACAGCATGGTGACCAGTGTTAGTATGAGTTTTTATTTTTAAAAGTTTATATATATATATTGAAAAGTTAAAAGAGTAAGAAACTACATTGCATACCTTTTCTTTGCTGGTGTTTAACATCTGCTGTGTGTGCTTTCTCTTTCTGTATACACAGTGTCATGACCATTTGAAAGTAGGATGCAAACATCATGGTATTTCACCCCTAAGCAGTTGAGCATTCTTTTTATACTGCAGATGTTCTGTATAGCCACAATATCATTAGTACACAAGATAAGTAACAGTGCCACAGTATCTAATAATGTAGTTCATATTAAAACTTCCAAAATGATTTTTATAGCCTCCCCAACCCAAGATATAATTATCATGGTGGCATTTGTCTCTTTGGCCACTTGTCATCTAGAACAGTCTGCCTTTCGTAACTTCACCTGTGCTTCACATAATAGAATGTAGAGCAGTGGTCTTCAAGTTTGGCTGCACTTGGGAAGCTTAAGCAAACTCCCAAAGCGTGGCCCCATCCCAGACCATTAAAACCTCTAGAGTGAGCTATGGTACTTGTGCAAGTGTTAAATGCTGAATGTGATCAAAGGGAGACAAAATAGGCTAGAGAGGCAACAGTCTCCCTGAATCTACATACCGCTAATGTAAGTAAGTCTTGTCATACTGTTGGCTTATGCCGAGTTTGGGATTAGCCAATAACAGCCACCATTACTGAGCATCTACTGTGCCAGGCACCATGCTTCATGCCTTAATCTAATCCTATAGCCTTGTGAGTATGTAGTTAGTGCCTCATCTATAAAATGAGGAGACCGCATTAGAGGTTAAGTAATTTTCTTGCTCAGGGTCACACAGGAAGTGACAGCCAGGATGCAGACCTAGCTCTAACATCTCCAAAGACAGCTGGCAGTGTGGCTGAACACTTATGTTTTTAAACATTTTTAAATTTTCTCCCTAAAACTTACATTAGTGTTTATATAAATACAATGCCAGATTCTTTCCCTTGGGGGTGGTTGACTTGTTTGGAAGCTTGGATCGGAGGCTTGCTTTTTTTTTTTTGACTGGTGACATAGCCCTCAGGAGACCTTGAGAACGTGTGCCCCCATGGGCTTGCTTTTTTTTAAAAACTATTTTTTGAGATAGTCTCACTGGTGCCCAGGCTAGAGTACAGTGGTGCCATCAGAGCTCACTGCAGCTTTGAACTCCTGCGCTTTAGTGAACTCCCACTTCAGCCTCCCGAGTACCTGGAACCACAGGCATGCACCACCATTCCCATCTAATTTTTCAAGTGATCCTCCTGCATGGATCTCCTAAAGTACTGGAATTAAGCCACTGTGCCTGGCCTAGGCTTGCTTGCTTGCTTGATTTTTGTTTTTTGAGAGAGTCTTGTTCTGTCGCTCAGGCTGGATAGCAATGGCACGGTCACAGCTTACTGCAACCTTCAACTCCCTGGGCTCAGGCGATCCTCCCATCTCTGCTGGGACTGCAGGTGAGATCCACCACCCCTGAAAAATTTTTGTATAGGTGGCTTTCACCATGTTGCCCAGGCTCGTCTCAAAACTGGCCTCAAGCGATCTTCGGGCGTTGGCCTCCCAAAGCACTGGAATTACAGTTATGAGCCGGAAAACTTCAGAATGTACACCACACCCAGTACCACGCTGTAACATGAAGGGATGCTGGTGGGGTCATCTTGAAATAACGTTTTCTAAAGGTATTTAATTTCAAAGTAACCAGTCTCTGATCCCAGCATAAGATGGAAATCTAAATATTTCTCAAAGTGAAAATAGTCATAAAATCTGAGAACTATGATTTCCAATGAATAAACTTGAAAGCCTCTTAAAAATCAGGCAGTCACGTGTAGATGAAACTGATCTTAATGCAAATTGTACCATCCCTACAAGCCTCAGTGGGTACTTGATAGAGCATCATTCAGATAGAGCCCTCAGGCTGTCCACTGTCACAGCTGCTTTAATAACCTCAGGGTTGATCATGGCCCAAAAACACACTTTAAAACTTTTTTTTTTTTTTTTGAGACAGAGTCTCGCTCTGTCGCCAGATGCCAGGCTGGAGTGCAGTGGCTCGATCTCAGCTCACTGCAACCTCTGCCTCCTGGGTTCAAGCAATTCTGCTTTAGCCTCTGGAGTAGCTGGGACTACTGGTGCATGCCACCACACACACCCAACTAATTTTTGTATTTTTTATCTTTATTTTTACTTTTTTTATTATTTTTTTAAAGCCCAGGCCCCTCCACACGTGCACACAGAAGATGCGCAGGCCGCGCAATTTTTGTATTTTTTTAGTAGAGACGGGGTTTCACCATGTTGGTCAGATGATCTCAATCTCTTGACCACGTGATCTGCCTTGGCTTCCCAAAGTGCTGGGATTACAGGCATGAGCCACCATGTCCAACCACTTTAAGACATTTTTAAACAGATAATTTATAAATGACCTAACTTTATTACTCACTATTTTTTTCCTTTTTTTTTTTTTGATACAGAGTCTCGCTCTGTCTCCTAGGCTGGAATGCAGTGGCATGATCTCTACTCACTGCATCCCCTGCATCCTAGGTTCAAGCAGTTCTCTGCCTCAGCCTCATGAGTAGCTGGGATTACAGATGCCTGCCATCAGGTCTGGCTAATTTTTGCATTTTTAGTAGAGACTGGATTTCACCATCTTGGCCAGACTGGTCTTGAACTCCTGACCTCATGATCCACCCTCCTCAGCCTCCCAAAGTGCTGGAATTACAGCCCATTTTAAAGAGCCTGACCATACCTAAAAAGGTAGGCTGAGTGTTTGAAAGTAGTAATATGTGGGCCGGGCGCAGTGGCTCATGCCTGTAATCCCAGCACTTTGGGAGGCCAAGGCAAGCGGATCACCTGAAGTCAGGAGTTCAAGACCAGCCTGGCCAACATGGTGAAACCCCGTCTCTACTAAAAATACAAAAATTAGCTGGGCAAGGCGTTATACTAAGTAGCCAGTAGTCCCTGGCTACTTAGGAGGCTGAGGAGGAGAATCGCCTGAACTCAGGAGGCGGAGGTTACAGTGAGCCGAGATTGCACCATTGTACTCCATCCAGCCTGAGCAATAAGAGCAAAACTCCATCTCAAAAAATAAAGTAGTTATATGTAGATATTTTTACAGTAAATACATTTTATTATATCTTAAAATTCTGTGTATGGGAGTTTAGGATTATGTTCAGCCTCGAGGGATGGAGACTATCATGTGGCTGAAACAAATTTACCCTTGATTCTTGTGAATGTAGCCAGTTCAGGGCTTGTATGATAGCTTGGCAGTCCTCCTGCTCCCAGGCTCCTGTCTTCTCCATACAGCCTCCAACCAAGGTGGAATTGCAGTTCCATCAGAAGCTGAGGGTGGGACCCAAGCAACCCTCATTTTTTTTTTTTTAAAGTTTCCAGGGATCCTAATGTGCAGTGAAGTGGTTCAAAATAAGAACTCTGTAGCTAGAATCAAAGGCTGTGTGACTTTGAACAAGTTACTGAACGTTTCCCCTCATCTGTAAAAGGGAAATGAGTACCTACTTTGTAAGGTTACTGTGACGATTACATAATACATGTAACGTACCTAGACTGGTGCCTGAGACATAGCACTCGATACGTTTTCACTGTCTTCTTTTCTCCTGATTACGTTTCTGGAAATTATAGTTTGTCAATACCCTTCCTAAAATGCGGACCCCAGGG